GTCTACACAGTGGGATAATGTGCACTACAGTGTGTGATTTCTAAACATGCTGAGATGCTGTGGATTAAAAGCCTTTTGGTATAAAATAAAGCTTCCATGGTGTGTGTTAATGTAATACTACTATCAGCATGATTTGTGTGGACCAATTAAAGTGCAGTGTGTTAGTGCATTTTAGAATCATGCCCCCCACAAAATTCATATTACACTACTATGTAGACAGGTCCTGAGTAGTTCTTAACCCGATGCAGACTTCTGTAAGCATGAATATATTATTGCATTGGCATATCACATCAAGAAATTCATTCCCCATGCTGATGCTCAGTTAAATTTGCTGAGAGTTACAGAGTTGGAATAAATTCTGGCTTATGCCGTAGGCCAGTTGTTCTCAGACTTTTTGGGCTCCGGAGTCCTTTACATGCGTAAAAATTTATGCGGAGCCCCAACGGTCAACTGATTGTATGTGTTGCACCTACCGATGTTTCCAGTTTGTCAACCTCGCAGAGCCTCTGGAGATGTCTCACGGAGCCCTAGGGCTCCGCGGAGCATAGTTTGAGAAACACTGCTGTAGGCAATCATATGCATTGAAGTACAACTGAGTTCAAAACTTTAAAGTGGCTGAACTACTTACATACTGAAGAAAGCACTGTGCTATCTAGATGTTTGAACAGAGTACTTGAGGATAGGCAAGGTTTGTTTTGTGTTCATAAGATTATCTGGTTTTGGTGGCTAAAGATTTTAAGTCGCATCAAAACTTTTGGGTGTTTTCTTTCCTTTCACAAGAAAATACACCTGGAACACTAGTTCAGATTTTGGACCTCATTAAATTTTTCAGTTGTACATACTGATGGACATGATGACAGATTACTTGTATCTTGAACTATCTAACTAAGATACAAAATTAAGCATTCTGTGCTGCTTTGGGTGGTGGGTGAGGAGAAGCCAATTAAATATTTCGCTTCACCTTTAACTCCAGATGTCTTTGAACAAAGAGCAGTGTTGAATATTTACCCATTTGAGTCTATAGTTTCATGAGTGAAAATAAGCCATCTCAAAAAGGAGTATTCTGGAGGTCAAAATAATAACATTTGATGATTCGCTGTTGGCCTGAAAATTAATGTCTAAAAAGACAGAAAACCTCCAGGACGCAGGGGCTACTTTTTACAGCTCTTGCCTTTTGGTAACTTCGTCTTGAAATCGAAGAAAAAGAAAGTAACAATTAGGAGAGGAGTTACGGGAAATGTTTAGATGGCTATGTACATACTATGTAAATTCAGAAATATAAAATACCTACTGTATGTACAACAAAAGCTTGGTATCACCTGCAGTTAGTGTAAAGTATTCTGTGTTGTGAATGTCACTTGGATGCTAACTAACTGTTTCTTTCTTTACAGATATATAAAAAAGTGTGTATTCATAGCCTGTAAATGACAGAAAATTATTTACTGCAGCTATTGATTCATTTAATGCAAGACACTAAGTAACTGCTATCATCACCATTACAGCTTGGACCTCCCTGGTCTAGCATCCTCGAGACCTGATCGGACCAAGAGGGATCCGTCCCTCCAGGGTCCGTCAGCAGACCCAGCAGAACTCTCCTGTCCCCAGGCCACCAGCTGTCAGCGAGTCCCAGCCACTGCTGCTCCACTGCCCCAGGGTCACCAGGATGCTGGGCTTCACTCCCCAGGGTGCTGGGGCTGCCGCGGCTCTGGTACCATGAGGCCACTGGGAACTCTGCTGTCCCAGGGCTATTGCAGCTTCATGGCAGCAGGACTGCTGGGGCTCTGGGAATACTGGAGCTCTGCTTTCTGGGGCTGCTGGACTCCACTGTCCCAAAGCTGCCGAGGCTTCCTAGCTCCAGGGCCGCTGGGGTCCACTCCTTGGGACGTCAGGGCTGCCGCAGCTCCACAAATTTGCAGCTGCCAAGGCTCAGTTCCTCAGGGTCGCTGGGGTTCTGCTCCCCAGTGCCGCCAGGGCTGCTGCAACTCCACTGCTCCAGGGCTGCTGGGACTGTGTTGTCCAGCACTGCACGGTCTGCATTGGCTCCGCCGGGGATCCGCTCTGCTGTGGCCTTGCTCCCCTCATTGGGGCTGTTACGGCTCTGCTGCCCTGGGCCTGCTGCAGTCAGCCTCCTGGCAGCCCAGCTCTCTGGTCCAGTGATATCTATGGTCCTACCAGATCACAGATGTTTCCAGTCCAGGGAGTCCCAGACAAGAGAAGTTCAACCTGTAGTTTGCTCCAGTAAATACCAATTAAAAAAAAACAGCAGAGAAATAATTGATAATGTCCAGGTTTGGAATGAAAGGTTTTTTTTTTTTCTCTCCCCAGCTGAACACAGCACTGAGGATAAGGTGGTTGTTTTTTGGGGAGGGTTGGGGAATATGGGTTTGCATAACTCACCTGCCATCCCCTAGCATACACCCAGAAGAGAAAAGATAAAGGTACAAGGCCCAGATAATGGGGGAGAAACTACCGTGTCTAAGCAATTGTCTTTAATTCTATATTAAGCCACTTGATTTTTAAAAAAATATTCCAAGACCTATTATTCTAAGAGATTCTATCCTATTTCCTTCACATGAGAGATATAGATCATGCTGATCTATCATGCTATTAAGTTATCCAACATGATCTCTAGCTTAATTCTGCGATTAAATTCTGCGTTATGGTTTTCAGAGCATTGGCATCTGGAGGCTTTTTTGCTCATTCACCTACTAAGAAATCCTGTGCAGTCACTGGTATTCAGGTCACTGCAATTGCACAGAAGTGATCTGGCAGCATCAGTAGTGAAGAAGCTTGTAACAAAGCACCACCTACAGTGCCAGCTACAGTGCTGTAGGATCAAAGCTCCTGCAGTTAAAGATGTGGAAGACTGCCTGGGGCACAGTGAGAAGGGGAGGAAAAAGAAGGGAGAAAAACAAGGTTTATAGACTGACCCTGAGAACAATAATGTTGTTGAACTGCTCATGTGATGAGTTTTTTGTGAGGAGAAGTTCCCTCCATTGTGCTTTGCCTTCTGAAACACCACTTCCCTCTTTGGATCTCAGATTGTACTTTTTTTCTCCTGGGAACCTGTATGGGATTAGACTCACCACTGTGGTAGCTCCTGTTGGTTGCTCTGGAAATTAGCTCAGTTCAGGTCTTGTGCACCCACTAAGGTTGCCAGATACTTTAAAAAAAATACCGAACATGGCAGGAGAAAAAATTGGTTGAGCAAAAAAAAAATAATAATGATAAAAAACGAACAGGACCAAACTTGTTGAGCAAACAAAGAAAAAATCCCCATGCTTCCCCCCCACTGCCAGACATGGCAGGGGAAGAATGTCCAAAACCAGAAAATACTGGACATTTTACATTTTCGTTTTGTTTTGTTTTTTGTTTTACTGGACAGAGACAGTGAAAACTGGACTTTTCGGGACCTCCAGCTGTGCCCCACCTTCGTTCTCCAGGCTTCTGGGGGAACCAGCAGTCCTCAGTCTTTAACACCTGCCTCATCAGCCACCTGCAGCCCTAAATCTAGCCCCTCGCTTCAGGAAAAAACTGAAGACTGGATTGGCCATGCTCCTTTGCAGCGGATGCGGTGCAAAAGGGAAGGAGGCCAAACCCACCCACCATTCTGGGTCCCGACCTAGGGACCTCTGAACAGCAGCCATGCACTGCATCTGCTGTAACCCTCTCTTTCCATTTCCGTGGCCACCTGTAACCCTCTCTGTCCATTTCCCTTGGCCACTTCCCGGACACTTGTATCAGGGCCGCAGTCTTCAGGCTGGAGCTCCCTCTTGCTCCTCTAAACCTGCCTCCCACTGCTTTGTGTCAGGTGCTGTTTCTAAGGCATCTAGTCCTTTTCCCTTGCCCTCTGTTTTGCTGAGCTGCCCTTTATATCTGGGTTCCTCCAGCAATCCCTTTCCTGGCTGGCTCTTAATGAGCTCTTTCTCCATTAGCTGAGATCTGCTTTAGCTTCTCTCCTTTCAGAATGGGACACTGCATCACTACAGAACCATGTTCACTTGTTTCTCTAGAAGCCAGTCTGTTATACTTAATTTTTTATAATAAGATTCATCACACAGTCACAAGTATGTGGATGAGCCAGAGAAACTAAAGCCACTTAGAAACCTGACTTGTATTTATTAGTATAAATCTTTATGAATTGCTTAAAGAGAAGACTTCTTTGTTTTCTGAGCAGTAAATCCAACTAAATTGCCTGATTTGAGCTTTATTTTGTGATGACTCTAAAACAGGTGAAAGGAATAGCTGCCAATGTTTACAGTACTTTGGAAGATTACTAACTTCTCTATATTAAAAAAAACATTTTTCCTGCAGGATGACAATGTGAGAACAAGCCCCACCCATCCCTAGTCTGGCCCTTCCCAGGGCCCATGTGGAGGGCTGGGGCTGCCCACAGCCAAGCCCTCCGCTCCCGGCGACTGGGGGAAAGCAGGGCTGTCACAACTCGGGCCTGGCCAAGCTGATGCTTTGGCCTGGCCCAACCCCTTGGAGGCTGTGGGGGAGAGGGTTGGGCCTGGCATGGTCTCGGTCAGGAGCGGGGGTTAGAATTAGGCAGTGTGGGAGGGGCAAGAGAAAGGGCCCAGGCTGTAGAGGTGAGTGGAAAGAAGGGGCCCGGCTGGTGTGGGGAAAGAGGGGAAGGGACTTGGGCTGGCATGGCCACAGCCCTGCTTTCCCTAGTGGCTGGGGGAGAGCCAGCGCTGCCTACCCCCCAAAAAAGGGTGGTTGGCAAGTATAGCGAGCAGGGGGCCCAGCCCCTTAGTTGTGTTAAATGCTGCTTTTTCTCTCTCACAAGCCTTATTAAAACCGGTTAATGTTCCATTTATGTCCTGCAATTGCAAATATTTTTTTTCCCTTGTCTTCATTTTTTAGACATTTGCTGACCAGGTGTTTGGCATTTTCAGTTGGACAGTTCCCGTTGCTGTAGCTGTTTCATGTTTTGGTGGACTCAATGCATCAATTTTAGCATCATCTAGGTAATACACATTTTATGATGTTCATAAGCATTCTTGGCCAACTTACCGTTTATACAATAAATGAACACTGTTAATGTCTATGCCATTAAAGAATATCCTAATAAACTAACTATCCTCAATAGACTTTAGTTTGTATATTCCATACCGCTAGCATGTCTCCTCTCTCCACCAAAATGTGACTGCCTAGCAATATGTACAATATAGCGTAAATGGTGGTTGCTAGATAATCACCCATATTGTTTCATGCCCTTGGTCAAGAATTGGATTATTCTCCAGTTTTCTTGTGGGGTTAAAAACTTAATATTCTTGATTTCCCTTTTAAGTACTATGGATAGATCATCAAAATGTTTTATATTTCTGACCTTTTGTTTGAAGCTTTACAATTTCAATTTATATGACAGTCTTATTAAAGCTTCAGATACGTCATGGAAACTTTCATCTGTGCATTGACTACACACATGACCAGTATAAGCTTCAAAAGAGTTTTTATAATACCTATAAAATCTTGTTTGTCTGTTAAATTCATACTTAATCTCCCTCTAGTAGAAAGAAATGGTAGTTTGAAATTATACAATAGATAAACTTAGAACATTGTTAAATTATTTATAGAAATTCTTATGTACAGTCACCTCCTTCATGATCTGATCATTATTTATTTCTCATTATTATGAAATTCATTAACTTGATGTCAATATATAAAATTGGACCAGAATGTTTAAATACAGTATACAGCTGTAATTTTAGATGGTTTCTGCTTCATAAAAATCTCGTTCAGTAATTCTAGAAGTTTACCTTTCTCATTATTTGGCTACGTCTAGACTACATCCCTTTTTCGTAAAAGGGATGTAAATTAGACGTATCGCAATTGCTAATGAAGCGGGGATTTAAATCTCCCCTGCTTCGTTAGCATAAAAATGGCTACCGCTTTTTTTCCCGCACGGAGCTTTGTCGGAAAAAAGCGCCAGTCTAGACGCTGATCTTGCAGAAAATAAAGCCTTTTCCAAAAGATCCCTTATCCCTCGGGGGAAAAAAAGCGGCAGCCATTTTTATGCTAATGAAGCAGGGAAGATTTAAATCCCCGCTTTGTTAGCAATTGCGATACATCTACTTTACATCCCTTTTACGAAAAAGGGATGTAGTCTAGACATAGCCTTTTTGTTTAAATGTGTAGAGATTTACTTATGCAGACCTACATACAGTACAAGAATACTTGGATACACATGCAAGTATTTCATAATGCAATTTTACACAGCTGTCTTTCTTGCCTTCACTCAAGATTAATCTGTTCTGTTCTGTCCTTTATAGGCTTTTTTTTGTAGGATCCCGGGAAGGTCATCTCCCTGACCTGTTATCCACGATACATATAGTGAGGTTCACACCTGTGCCAGCACTACTCTTCAATGTAAGATGATGCTGTTTTTAAGTTGTATGAAAGTGTTTGGGGATATGAAATAGATCCAAAATGGAGTGTTCTTTACTTGGATTGGAATTCTTTGACCAATAAAGTCTGTATTGTATATTGCATTAAATGATCTTTCACTTGTATAAATTAACAGATAATTAGTCTCTGGAAAGTTGCATTAGATTGGCAATCTCTAAAAATTATTAATGTAATTTAGGGATGTAAAATTTCAATTAATTGACTAATTGAATAGTCGATGCAATTTGCATTTACTATTCAATTAGTTGATAAGGGCGCCTCCACCTTTGAAGTGTAGCAACATCCCCAGAGAGTCTAGGGTCAGCTGGGGACATTTCAAAGTTGCAGCACTGCATGGAACCCTCTTCTTTCCCCTCTTGCTGCCTCTTTCTGATAGAGGCAGCAAGGGGTGGCGGGAAAGTGACTAGTTGACTAGCGTGTTGACTATCTGATAAGCATTTGCTTATCAGATAGTCAACTAGTGTTCACATCCCTAATGTAAGTCAAACTACAAAGTCTCTAACTATAAAGTAATCTGGAATGGGAATAAAGTGATTGAATACTTTGCCTTTATTGCTGTTGGGTGCTGTTCTTTGCAGACTTTCATTTCTTATGAACAAGGTAAGACTAAAGCTAGTCTAAAATACATTCTAAATTATTTTGACTTGTTAGCAAATAAATTGATAATATGTTCAGGCTATTTAGTCATAAGGATATGATTGAACTATGTACAGTAAAAAGCCAGCTGTTTATGAACTCCTTTTTGCTTGGTAAACTTGCTTAATGTATTTTGCTTCGGTAAGTATCTTTGTTACTTTGCTGGACATTGATGCTAAATTCGGCACTTGGTTCACTTCCATCTTTGGAAAACTTCAAGAAACATAATCTTTGTGTCCCCACCACTACTTTTGAAAATCTCAGTAAAATCCCATCTCTTGGCATGATCAGAAATAATTGTTTCCACCCTAAAAAACCATTTATAGAAGGATATGTAAGTATGAAATAATACAAAGCACTTGGGCATATGAAAGTTACATTAATGTACAAAGCAAAAAACAATCTGAAACCTATATATCAATTCATGATAGTTGTGTTCTTATCCCACAGTGTACTATGACCCTCATTTATCTGACTGTAGAAGATGTCTTCCAGCTTATCAATTACTTCAGTTTCAGTTACTGGTTTTTTGTGGGACTGTCAGTAGCTGGGCAATTATACCTTCGATGGAAGGAACCAGATCGACCCAGACCTCTCAAGGTACAAATGAATGAATTATGTAAGCAACATTTGTTTATTTTAAGTTCTTTCCCACATCCCAATACATCCTATAGCACTCTGAAATTTGTGTTATGTCTGAAATGTGTTTCTTTGTGTTAGATTGTAAATTCTCAGGACGGAAATCCATGTATTCATTTTTTTTTTAAATGCCACATGTTGCTTTCAAGTGTTCAGTAGATATTCTTGTTCTAGAACACTGGCTCAACTGCTAGGTGAAAATGACTAACACATGCCTCTTCATTGTTTCAATTCCATGTCTGGTCCATTCTTCTGCCATTTGACACATGGTTCATGTGATTGGAAACAGGAACCACTCTTGGTTTTTCGATTATAGGTTCATGGATTAGGGCTCTCTTCCCCCTGCTCCTAAATCTCAGCTCTGTTGTGTGAATTTAGGAAGGGCAAATTAATTGTAGTGGTAGCACCTTTCCTACCAAAGACATATTTGGAGCTGCTGTGGCATGTCTGAATTACTGATTCTTGGGGAACCTTCTTTGGGTTGGGCGCCACTGACCCACAGAAAAAATCAGTCAGGGGCCACACACAAGTGAGGGAAAAAAACAAACAAAAAAAAACCTCTTAATGATGTGCTCCTGACTGAGGAGAGAGACATTACCCGCACACACCAGAGCCTCGTGGGGCCCAGGCTAGTAGATTTTGTGTGCTCTAGCCCCTGGGGCTGGAGCACCCGTGTGGGCTCCCCAGTGCTGGGGGGAAACCCTGATGCTTAGGGGCCAGATCCAGGGAAGCCGGAAGGGGGGAGGAGGGGCTGGCTGGCTGAATCTTGCCCCCTAGACCTTAGGTTCTCCACCTCTGCTTCAAAACCTTTCTCTGGTAAAGTTGGATGCACTTCATTAAGCTAACTATGCCATTCTTGACTCCTAAAAGGCAGTGTCTCAGTGCAGTGGATTTGTCTGAAAGCTACTAGCTGCAGTGAAAAGCTGCTTTCAGCATTGCATAGTTATCTTCCACTATTTCACATATGAATTTTAGTTGCTGTTCTGCTGTGTGGAGTATCATAGAATTCTAGAGCTGGAGCAGGCATTAGAAGGTCACCGAGTCCAGTCCACTATCCAAAGCAAGATGAACTCCAACTAAATCATCCCAGCTAGGACTGTCAAGCCAAAACGTAAAAACCTCTAGGGATGGAGATTTCACCACCTTCCTAGGTAACCCATTCCAGTGCTTCACCACCCTCCCAGTGAAATAGTTTCTCCTGATCTCCAATTTAGACCTTCCTCACTGTAACTTGAGACCATTGCTCCTTGTTCTGTCATCTGTCACCACTCAGAATAGCCTCTCTCCATCCTGTTTGGAACCTCCCTTTAGAAAGTTGAAGGCTGCTATCAAATCCCCCCTCACCCTTTTCTTCTGAAGATTAAATAAATACAAATCCCTCAGCCTCTCCTCATAGGTTATGTGCTCCAGCCCCCTAATAATTTTGGTTGCTTTCTGTTGGACCCTCTCCAATGCGTCCACGTCCTTTCTGTAGTGTATTCGCAGTACTCCAGATGTGGCCTCACCAATCGAAGTAAAGGGGAATAATCACATCTCTTGACCTCCTGGAAATGCGCCTCCTAATGCATCCTAATTTGCCATTAGCCTTCCTGGCTACAAGGGCACACTACTGACTCAAATCCAGCTTCTCATCCTCTGTAATCCCCAGAACCTTTTCTGCTGAACTACTTAGCCAGTCAGTCCCCAGCCTTAACGGTACTTGTGATTCTTCCATCCCAAGTGCAGGATTCTGCTCTTGTCCTTGTTGAACTTCATTCACTTGTCATTGTTCAACCTTGTTGAACCCCTGGGCTGTTGCTGCACTTCAAAGGCAAAAATGCTATGGAGAGCACAGGGCCAGCAGGGGAATCAAGCAGTCCTCTACTGGCCTTGTGCCCCTGTAACATTTCAAAGCAGCAGAGGCACATGGAGCCCGAGGTCAGCTGAGGACTCCAATTCCCCAGCTGACCCAGGGCTCCATGTGGTGCTGCTGCTTTGAAATGCCGCATGCAGCCCAGGGCTGCTGGGGAGTCCCAGCTTCCCCGAGCGGCACACGGCATTTCAAAGCGACAGCACAGTGAGAAGCCCAGCGTCTGGCGCCAGGCTCTACACGGTACTGCTGTTTTAAAGCACCCCATCTTGTTTCCCTCCCCCACTCCCACCCCTCCATTGCTGCCTCTTTCTGATAGTAAGGAGAAGCATCTAGTCAACTAGTATGTCGACTAGCCGATAAACATTTGTCAAGTAGTCGTTCACATCCTTATTTGTGAGCAACAGGTCATGTTTGTATCCACTTAACATCTTTCTAACTAGCCAAATATAAATCCATCCTGTGCTGGAGTGTGTATGGGAATTAAAAACTTGATTTGGAAAAAAATTGAATTAAAAATTGCAGTTTCAGAAAAATCACATTCCCTCCAAAATGCATGTAACTGTTGATATATGAAAGCATTCCATGATTTTTTTCTCCTTTTCTACAGCTGAGTCTCTTTTTCCCAATTGCTTTCTGTATATGCTCAGTATTTCTGGTAGTGGTGCCTTTGTATAGTGATACCATTAATTCTTTGATCGGAATTGGCATTGCTGTGTCTGGAATTCCAGTCTACTTCATTGGAATCTACTTGCCCATATCCAGAAGGCCACCATTTATCAACAAGATGTTAGGTAAGTGCATGTAGATTGGAAGATTTTACTATTTGCTAGGCTTGAATGAAAATTTTGTTAATACGTTTTAAATTGGTATGAATGATCACACACGAGCTGAATAGCAGTGATTGGGAAAAAATCATTATTTCTGTATTTTACATTTCTTTTAGTATATATTTTATAGCTTCTGTCAATCGCATTATATTTGCATCTTACCAAACACATTGAAAAATCTAAATTCCAAAGCAAGTCCAATTTCTGGACTCTTGCAAATATGTTGTCTTGCTTCACTTTAGTTGGAGCTTAGATTTAGCAGCTGCTTGAAAATATGTAATGGTTTTTTCTTCAATTACTGTCTCTGTGGGTGCTCCACTTTAGGTGTTGGTGCATCTGTTACTAGCAAAGGTGCACTAGTAAGCTAAATTTAGTGCGGGGCCAAATAGATGTTAAATGCCTTTGTCCCAGAAGGTGGTCCGACCTGGAAACCACTGTATCTGTCACCGTCTGATTTCTCCAGTCCAAAATAAACAGACTCCAATATCCAATTTAAAAGAGAGATATTGTATACAACAGATAACAGCATAAGAATAAACCCAGAACACAACATTGCAAAAGAAAACCAACCCCTCACCCTCTGAAATAATAGGGGATAGCACAGTTAACAAGAGAACATAAACTATACTCGGTCTGTCTAGGATGCGACAGCCGAGGCTCAGGACCTGCTACTCGGCTGCTTGACAGCCTCAAGGGAGGAACATTGAGGAGTCCAAAGGTATTACTCTGTGGACGCAGGTAGCTGGGGTCCACCGTACTGGACAGTCACCACAGTGGTGAGCCGAAGCACCCTGTGAGCAGCTAGAGGATTATTCTAAGAGGGGTGGGTGAGATTCTGTGGCCTGCACTGTGCAGGGGGTCAGACTAGATGATCGTAATGGTCCCTTCACCCCGGTCTCAGGAACAGCAGGCTGCTGTAGTGGTCAGGCAGATGAATGAACCAAACCAAGCGAGTGGAGATGGAACAGACCCCGATCTCCTCTGGGGCTTGAGTTTATAAAGGTCCCAAGGCAGAAAAACCGCTGCAGCATCTCTAGTGCACAAAATGGTGTTGGGTGCAAACAAATCAGTGCCGAGTGCAGATTTTTGCACTGTGTGCAACACTGTGGTGCAGTATGCACAGCCATGTGCCGTGTGCAGATGTTAAGTTTTGGTGGCAAAAGTCTCTCAGCTCCTTTGGGTTCCATTTTAAATGTCCTTCAGTCCATAAACTCCATTTTGAATTCTTATGTCCTTATAATTATAATGTCCCAGATCTTGATTTATGATTAACAGGCAACACATCCTTGCACTGGCCAATCAGAAAATTTTCTTAGCAGTGCCTGGATGCGCCATGGATGTGCAGCAGCCGCCTTGTGGTGCCGTTAGCCATGTGCGTGGCGCAACCCCTCTCTGTTCCTTCTGTACCATCCTCACAGTAGAGGGGTCACTTAGCAGCTCAGCTCTCCTTCATCTGAAAGACAAAGAAACCCTTGTAGTATTCATTTCTCCTGTTGATTTCCTTCAACTCCTTTGTTATCCTTAATTTAAAAAAAAACTTTTATTTTGGAAGGGAAGAGGTGCATTTTTCTCTCCTTTCCAACCATTATATATATATTTTTTCTTTTAGTATTCTCAAAAAAAAAAAAGAGAGAGAGAGAAAGGATACGTCTAAACTGCAAGTTTCTTTCGGAAGAAGCTTTTCGAAAGAGAGCATCTATGCAGCAAAAACACGAAGAAACACGATCTTTTTTGAAAGATAGCGTCCAATCAATGTGGACGCTATCTCGCATTTAAGGCCACCCGGAAACAGTTCAGGGCATTAGGTCAGCAGTTGCTTCCGCATGCTGTTGCCTAAGGCTATCTGAGACGTGCTTAAAGGGATCCCCCCCCCGGACAGCTGTTTTTGTTTCTGCTGCTTGCTTGTCTACCTCTCCGAGGGACAGCAAAGCATTTGCAGTGCGTGCTCTGGTTGCCCTGCCTTTGGACACACAGCATACTCCCTGTCATGGAGCCGGAGCTGCTTCTGGGCATGCGATGGTCCCACATGGCCGTGCTGCAATTTCTGCAGCAGTTTGTGCAACCTGTCTGCATGGTCCTGCACGAGCTCGACACCGAGCTCATCAGTGAGACCCTCTGCCTGGATGCGGGAGCAAGGCCTTTGCAACCATACCCTATGGTACAGAGATGCTTCTGGAAGCTGGACACCAGTTCTGACTGGTAGGACTGGCTGGTCATGGAGTGGTGGGATGACCAGCAGTGGCTCCAAAACTTCTGCATGCAGAAGGCCACCTTCAAGAAGCTGTGTGTCTGGCTCGCCCCTGCTCTCTGTCGTCGTGACACCCAGACGCAACCTGCCATCCCCCTGGAGAATTGGGTCGCCATTGCCACCTGGAAACTCGCCAACCCAGACAGCTACCGGTCTGTGGGCAACTAGTTCAACATGGGAAAGTCCACAGTCGGGGCGCTCCTCATGGAGGTAAGGCACACTTGGGCTCCAGTCCCTGGAGGGGGGAGGGTAGAAATCCTGGAAAGAGGGATCCTAGGGGACAAAGGGGGGATTCAGGGGTGGGATGGGGGTGGTGGAGAAGCCCCATCCCCAGAGGTTCCTTGCACAGTTTTGCTGAGGGAGTGGCCACATAGGGGGTGGCTCCCAGGGTGTTTGTGGGTGGGAGGAGAGGGGGCCGGCACCTCTCAAAGGCTCAGGCACTCCCTCTCATTCTCTGTTTCGTGTTTCGTTGTCTCCTTCTGCAGGTGGTGAGGGCCATTTATTCTGTCCTGCAGCACAGGGTCATCCACCTGGGAGACATGGACCCCATCATTGCCAGATTTGTTGCCCTGAGCTTCCCCAACTGCAGGGGAGCCATCGATATAACCCACATCTCAATCTGTGCACCACATCGAGCCACCCAATACATAAACCGCACGGGCTATTTCTCAATGGTGCTGCAGGGCCTGGTTGACCACCATGGACATTTTCATTAAGAGGTCGGGCAGGGCACATGACGCCCGCATTTTCTGAAACTCCAGCCTCTACCAGAAGCTGGAGGCTGGCACCTTCTTCCCCCAGCATGACTTTCGGTTTGGTGATGTGCAGATGCCACTATGCATCGTGGGGGACGTGGGGGACGTGGCCATTGCTCACAAAGCCATACATCAGCTACCTAGACTCCCAACAAGGACCAATTCAATGCCCACCTCAGCTGGGCCTGGATGCAGATGGAATGTGCCTGAAGGCGCAGTTCAGGTGCCTCCTTACCCACCTGGATATGGGGGAGCACTACATCCCCGAGGTGGTCTCGGCCTGTTGTGTTCTCTAAAGTATTGTGGACAGGAAGAGGGAGGCCAGCCAGGAAGGAAGGGCCTTCGAGCAGCTATGCACAGCTGCAGTCCGCCAGGCCCATAAGATGGGGTGTGCATCTGGGAGGCCCTGAGGGAAAATTTCTCTCAAGGACCCCAGCAACTCTCCCCATAGCTTCCCCCCCCCCCCCCATGCCTTTCCCACAACAACCGCTCCCTTCCCTTCTTCCCTGTACACTGAATAAAGACAGCAGTTTTGATTTGAAAAACAGAAACTTTGTATTTTTTTCATAATAAAACAAACTGGGGAAGCTGGAAGGGAGGGGGGACTGAGAACCTGGATGGGGGAGGGAGGAGAGGGGCTGAGAATCTGGATGGAGGAGAGGGGCTCAGGGCTGGGAGTGGCACCTCAGGTGTTGGCGACATTGAGGGTGGGTGGGGGCTGGGGCAGCAGGTGGGTAGGCAGGAGGAGGGGCTGGAGCAGGGTCAGGTATGGTGGAGGTGCATGGGGAAGGAACATAGGCATAGCATTGGGAGAGAGCAGAGGTGTGGCTGGGGGGCAGGAGCCAGGTGTGTCGTCATTTCTCGGATGGTGGCACAAATTTTGTTGCCCTGCCGTACAAGCTGGTCCCACATGCAGGTTTGCCATTGGGTGTCACCTGAGCCAGGGTTTACTGCATGTCACGGAGGACGATCATATGCTCCCTCATGAGGTCTTCCTGGACCCTCCTGCGCTTGCAGCTCCCCTGGGTCAGGTGGCTCCCTCTGGTGGTGGTGATCGCCCCTCAGAGACGGCTGGTCCAGCTGTGGAGAGTAAAGAGGGAGAGGTGGTCAGTCATCCATGCAGACACCCTCCCTGAGACTGTGCCCTCTTCTGTGAGCAACAGTCCTCGGGCCAGAAGACGGGGAGGTCCCAGGACCAAGGCCATGTGTAGCCTGCACATCGGGCCCTGCCTCACAGGGGTCTCGAGGTGCCCAGGGGACCATGCTTCCCACTCCCTCCTCCCATCCCATGGACAAGCAGGCAGGGGAAGTGTCCGTCCACACTGGGATCCCATGGGCAGGAGAGAGGCCTGGAGCCCGCGCCCAGACCTGCTCCTGGCAGTGCTGTCCGCGAGAGCAGGTGTTGTCTTGCGCGTGCAGGCATGCCCATGTGCTGTGTGTGCAACTCGTCGGTCTGTGTAGGGTTGTGCGAGTGCCATTGGGCCCAGCCTGCTTCCAGTGGTGGGAGGGCACCCTCCCCCAGAGATCAAATGTGTTTGTGGCCTCCCCAAAGCCTGTGTGCAGGAGCCCAGGGGTGTTCCAGGGCTGCCTTCTGAGGCTGCGTGGAACAGACCTGCACAGCATGTGCTTCCATGTGCATTGACTGCAGCACAATATCCATGCCAAGCAGGCCATGTGACTATTGCAACCCATCCCCTCTGCACCAGCCTGCCCCACCCTGTGTGTGTGAAAAACTGAGAGCACTCACCTGGTGATCCCTCCCCATCTTCAGAAGATGCTTGGGAGATATCCAGGGTCTGGGGTACTGGCTCCAGGGTGAGGGTGACCATGCTGACCGTATCCTCCTCCTCCTGTAGCTTGTCCTCCTCCTCCTCCTCCTCATCCTCCTCCTCCTCCTCACTCCTTCTCCACCTGCAGCTCCTGCTCTTCCTCCTCCTCAGCAGGGACCCCCAGGCGGGCAA